TAGCCAAAGTTTCTCTCCCATGTTATTAGAAGGCTTTTATCCATCTCTTCTTTAGCATCTTGACAGGTCAAAAATGGATAAATCTTCGATAATATTTTCTTATCTCTGCCAAACAGAATCTTATCTAGCCCCTGGAACTTTTTTGAACTGTAAGTTCTAAAAGTTGATGATGCTAAGTATGTTCTTCTGAATTCTAAACTTGTCCTTGTAGTTTAGAAAGTGTATCTTCATGCAGAAATATTTCATGCTCCTGACTTTACTACTTTTAATGTAATTGGAAATTCCTGGTGGCTTATCTAGGCAGGTAGCTAGAAACATCATTGTACTAATGATATCAAGTATGTAAATCAATGAAAGGACATGCTGACAGTGTACATCCCATTCATCTTTCTACAATATAATAAAGGAGCAAAAGTTTTGAATTATACCTAATCTCTGGAATTCTCCATTAGCTGATTGCTTCCATTTTGTGAACAAAGAAATTGATGGTACCTGGAAGATTATAGTTTTAGCTATTAAACTTTCTAGACATCCCAGATATTGATTTTACTATTTCCATGGTAAAATAAGTGTGTGCTTTGAGTGTTCCTAAGGTTTCCCAATTTAGTAGCATATCAGTTAAAAAAAAACATTTTAACTAATAAAAAGATACTTCATAAATGTCCATTTCTGTTGTTAATCATTTTAAAACTATCAACTGAGGATGCATTCAACACATTCTTTCATCTTTGCATAAAAACCTGAAGTTATAGCTGAATATCGGTTGCAAATAGTTTTCCCTTTCAAACTAGATAGATCTAGTTGTTGTTTTTTCCTTCCTGCCCCAAAAAGACTTTTGTGTAAATTACAATCAAATTAAGATATAGTTATTGATAAAATATTTTGTACAAAATATGAACTGAAGAAGAAGCTTTAGAAAGTGATTTTGTGAGGTGGATAACCATATAAATTGAATAAAATAAAATAAAAATCTCAATTTTTGATCCTAATTTATATGTGCTTAATATTTATTCCTTACACCATAAGATTTTCTACTTATACATGTAAGTATAAGTGTTATACTTACAAAACTTATAAAAATAAAATGACCAATATTTAATTTTATGAAATCACTGGGCAAACCTGCTTCATTGGGGCATGTTTCTTTACCTAAACAGAAACACAATGACCAAGGACAGGCAAAAAGAAAAGAAAAGAAAAGAAAACAGGGGACATAGGAGCAACAATATAAAAACTGCTTGGAACAAGAGAAATTAGGTGAACTCTATGTCTCCTTGGCAGACTCCCCCGCCCACAAAAAAGAGAGGAATAGCCATATATATAAAAAAAGAGTAAAAAGCTAGTCAAATGTGTGCAGATGATAATGGAAGAATCTTAATGATGGAGGTTAAAATTCAACAAATGCAAGTGCTATTGGTGGTGATCTATGCGCCAAATGAAAATCAGAAAAAATGTTATAAAAAACTACATTAAAAATAATAGAAATGGGATTAGAGAATATTTGTTTGTTGGGAGATTTTAATGCAGTAGTAGACACAATAAAGGACTCTTAAAGTAGCAACTCAAAGAAGAAGAAAAAGGAAAACTTTGCCAAAATCATTTTTTGACATGAATTTAAATTTAAGAGAGAGAAATAAATCCAAATGAAAAGGGATATACCTTCTACTCAAATCTACACAAATCATGGTCTAGAATCGACAGAGCCGGGAAGAACAGTGAGATAGAAAATAAGTTGGAAGCAACAGAGATTGTATCTAACACATGGGCAGATCATAACCCGATAAAAATAATTTGGAAGAGCCCAAAGAGGAAAAATAGACGTTGGATGCTAAATACACAGATACTAAAAGAAAAAGAGTACACCCAGCAGATTAAGAAAGAAATGGAATTCTTCCTCAAAGAAAATAACAATCAAGATACATTACAAAACCTATGGGACACCACCAAAGCATATCTACATGGGATAACAATAGCATATGTAGTCCGAAGAAATAAAGAAAAATGGAAACTATTCCAAATTTCATTCTCTCATGAGTCCCAAATATTAGACACATTATGTGTCCAAAGTGACGTGCGGTGAGGGTTACCGTTGGTGAGGCAAGACCGCAGCAGCGGCGAGAAGCAACATCCTTGCCGCTGTGTCCGACAGGCGTCTCGCGTTTATGGCAGACATAACCGCGAGGCGCCTGTCGGACACAGCGGCAAGGATGTTGCTTCTCGCCGCTGCTGCGGTCTTGCCTCACCAACGGTAACCCTCACCGCACGTCACTTTGGACACATAATGTGTCTAATATTTGGGACTCATGAGAGAATGAAATTTGGAATAGTTTCCATTTTTCTTTATTTCTTCGGACTACATATG